GCGCGTCGTCGCCCGCGCTTGCCGAAATCCTTCAAAAACGCTAGGTGTCTGAAGGGCTTCAAAATCTCAAAATCGAGTGTCCAAACATATAAAACATTGTTTCGCAACGCAGATGTTCAACAATGTCGTGCGCGCGCTCATGCGAATTCGCGCGCTTTTTTTCACATGTTTATCACACGCTACCAAACGAGCTTCGCGCGCGCATGTCGAAATCGTTCGAGCGACCTTGCCCGCGTGCTGGGTGGCGCGATCCGTGTCAAATAATATCATGCGAGCCACTCACTCGCGCTTCTGCCGCGCGCGCATTTCGAACTCCGTCCAAACCCTTTACCACCGACGCGAAGAAGCCATCATTGTCGTTGGCATGATCAGCATCGGCGCCGTCGCTGGCTGCATCTTTGTCGCTGCCAGCATCGCCACCAGCATCGCAACGATCATCTTCGCGTCTACCGTTGTCGACGTTGCCATGATACCGGGCCCGCCCAACTCGCCGCCTCGCACTGAAGTGCCCGCTGGAACCTGACGAGCGGCCAGCGCCACCGCGTTCGCGTCGGTCGCGCCAAAATAGCTGGCCGCTGCGCGCGCGAGCATTCGCGGGCTAGCGCGGTCGCAGAGATGCACCAGCCAAAACCAAGCACTCATCGCAATCGCTTCCGCATGGGGTTTGCAAGCCAAATTGCGGGTGGGTGGGCGGGACGTTGCGCGAGCAGTGGAGTGGACATTCTTAAGTTGAGCATGTGATTGAACATTGTTAAGTTGAGCATTCTTCGGTTCTACCACCTTCCTGTTTCCGGGTTTGAAGATTTTTCCGTGCTGCAATTTGCGCACGATTTTGCCCCATCGTCCATCCGAACTGCGAACTCGTATTATCCCAGCTTGGCCGGCATCGCCCCCCCGCCATCCTCTGCGATAGTATATATATATATATATATCGGAGGTGAAGGGGTGAGATCGAAGAGGAACGGAGAGCCCCCCCAACCGGGAAATCGATTTCGCTTTCGTGTTCGTGCGTGCCGCGCGCGCGGGCGACGCGAAGCTGCGTGGGCGGGCGAGAGGAAAGTCTCCTGTGGCTGAGGCGCGGCCGGACCAAATGTGTCTCTTCCGGGCGGCCGGTGGCGCGCGGTGTCCCGCCGGTGTCCCGCTGGTGTCCAGTCGGTGTCCGTGTGGCTGAGGCGCGGCCGGACTAAATGTGTCTGCGGCCGGTGGCGCGCGGTGTCCCGCCGGTGTCCCGCTGGTGTCCAGTCGGTGTCCCTGTGGCTGAGGCGCGGCCGGACCAAATGTCTCTTCCGGCTGGCCGGTGGCGCGCGGTGCCCCGCCGGTGTCCCGCTGGTGTCCCGTCGGTGTCCCGTCGGTGTCCCGATGATGATGATGTGGATGATTATGATGATGATGATGATGATGATGATGATGGTGATGATGATGGTGATGATGGCGATGATGATGATGATGATGATGATGATGATGATGATGTTGGTGTTGTTGTTGATGATGATGATGACGTCGATTGTCAGATCGATTGTGACATCGATAGTGAGACCGAATGTGAGATCGATTGTGAGATCGATAGTGAGATCGATTGTGAGATCGACAGTCAGATCGATTGTGAGATGATGATGGGGATGATGGTGATGATGGTAATGATGGGGATGATGGTGATGATGGTGATGATGATGACGATGCTGATGATGATGATAATGATGATGGCGTCGATTGTGAGATCGATTGGGAGTTCGACTGTGAGATCGATAATCAGATCGATTGCGCGATGCTGATGGTGATGATGGTGATGATGGTGATGATGATGGTGGTGATGACGATGATGATTACGTTGATGATGTTGATGATGATGGTGTCCCGATGACGATGGTGTTGATGATGATGATGTTGATGATGGTGATGATGATGTTGATGATGATGATGATGGTGCCCCGATGATGATGGTGATGACGTTGATGATGATGATGTCGATGATGATGATGATGGTGTCCCGATGGTGATGATGATGATGATGATTATGTTGATGATGATGACGATGATGGTGTCCCGATGATGATGATGATGATGATGATGATGCTGATGATGATGATGATGATGATGATGATGATGATGATGATGATGATGACGATGATGATGATGATGATGATGATGATGATGATGATGATGATGATGATGATGATGATGATGATGATGATGATGATGATGATGATGATGATGATGATGACGATGTTGAGGATGATGATGAGATGATGATGATGATGATGGTGTCCCGATGATGATGACGATGTCGATTGTGAGATCGATAGTGAGACCGAATGTGAAACCGAATGTGAGATCGATTGTGAGATCGATTGTGAGATCGACAGTGAGATCGATCGTGAGACCGAATGTGAGACCGAATGTGAGATCGACTGTGAGATCGATTGTGAGATCGATAGTGAGATCGACAGTGAGACCGAATGTGAGACCGAATGTGAGATCGATTGTGAGATCGATGTGAGATCGATTGTGAGATCGATAGTGAGATCGATAGCGAGATCGATAGTGATATCGATAGTGAGATCGAATGTGAGATCGATTGTGAGATCGATAGCGAGATCGATTGAGTGAGACGTTGGTTCCCCCTCCCCCCTCACCTCCTTATCACCCGCAGGGTGGTCGTATGGGTGTATATATATATATATATATATATATATATTACGCGCGCATTCGAACATAATCATAAGTCCTCACGACTTGCAGAGGGTGGGACGAACTGCGCACGCGCGCGTCGTCGCGCGCGCATGCCGAAATCCTTCAACAACTTGCAGTTTCGAGAGGATGTCAAAATCGAGCGTCCAAAAACAGGCACGAACACAGGGTTTCGCAACACGGATTCTCCAAAAAAACATGTGTTATCATAGGTGTTTCAACATTTCGTAGCATATGACCAAACGGACTTCTTCGCGCGCGCATGCCGAAATCGCTCGAACGCCCTTTGCGCGCGCGCCGTCGCGAGAATTCCTTGCAACAGAAGGATGAAGTGCACGCGCGCGCGTCGTCGCGCGCGCGCGTCGGAATCCTTCGACAACCATCGGTTCCGGAAAGGGTTTCCAAGTCGAGTGTCCAAACAAGATGCAAAAACGCGCAAGGTTTCGCAACGCGGGTTTTCAAAACAAGAAAACACATGCGAAGTCTTGCGACTCTTTAGAACACCATGAGCTTTTCAACATTGTCATAAAATGCCACCAAACGGGATTTGCGCGCGCGCATGGCGACACCGTTCGAACGCCCTTGCGCGCGTGCTGGGGTGGCACGATCCGTGCCGCATAATACAATAGGGGCCACTCGCGTGCCTGCCGCGCGCGCATTTCGAACTCCTTCCAAAACCTTCATCACCGACGCGAAGACGCCGTCGTTGTCGTCGGCGTGATCAGCGTCGGCGCCGTCACTGGCTGCCCCGTCGTCGCTGTCAGCATCGCCGCCAGCATCGCTACTATCATCACCATCGTGTCTACATAGTCGACGTTATCATGGTAGCGCACCCGCCCAAATGGCCGTCTCGCACTGAAGTGCCCGCTGGAATCGGACGAGCGGTCAGCACCACCGCGGCCGCGTCGGTCGCGCTAAACTATTTGGCCGCTGCGCACGCGCGCATGCGCGGGCCGGCGCGGCCGCAGAGATGCACCAGCCAGCGCCACGCACTCATCGCAATCGCCGCCGCATGAGGTTTGCAAGTCAAGTTGCGGGTGGGTGGATGGGGTGTTTGCGCGAGCAGTGGGGCGGACAATTCATTGCGGACAGAGATTAATTGCATCACGCAGTTTGCACCACGCACGTTGCACCACACGGCTTGCGCCACGTCGGTTGTTTCACATATCCAACCAAGCATATTCGCCGCGACACTTGTATTGCACAGTTTGCACCGCACGGCACATAGGTGGCACACCATGCACTTCATCACCGGTTACACCGCATACGTTGCACCGCATATACTGCACCACATATATTGCACATGCATGGATGAACCATCGCGCACAACGCAATCTGCGAACGACACACGGTATGGTGTCCACGCTGACCAACGTATGTATGTATTGTATACACATAAGCATGTGTATAGATTGGGGAGAAAAGAGAGAGAGAGAGAGAAAAAAAAGAGAGAGAGAGAGAGGGAGAGAGACAACAATAGAGACACCGCGAAGGGAGCGAGAGAGGGTGAAAGCGAGAAAGAGAAACCAAACACAAACACCCACATACACAGACACACAACGAAACACACACACACAGAAAGAGAGAGGGAGGAACACAAAAACAGCAAAACGCCAGCCTCGCGCCATCTCTCGCCCGCAGGTGGGTGCCGAAGAGCGAGGACAGAGAGATAGAGCACAACACCACATGTATGGGGGAAAGGGGGCGGGAGAGAGAGAGAGAGAGGGAGAGAGATATTACCAGTTTCGTGGCACCTCACGCTCGCCAGTGGCTACCACTGAAAAGGGGGCAGAGAGTGAGAGGGTGGGGGAGAGGGTGTGTGTGAGAGAGAGAGCGCACAAGAGAGACAAACACAACAGCAGAGGCAGAGACAGAGGCTGGAGCAGGGGGAGGAAGAGAGAGAGAGAGAGAGAAAGAAAGAGAGTGAGAGGGAAGGGAAGTGGGGCATATTTCTATGATGTGAATGCGCACACCTCCCTTTCTCTGGTTGCGCTAAACATGTTTTTTGTTTGTCGCCTGGGAGGCTCATGTCCGCTATGATATCCGTCGGCAGATAGAGAGAAGCTTTAACGCAATGGAGTGGGATGGGTGGGAGGGGTATGGTGTCAGATGAGGCGCGAGCCGCGAGCGCACCCAGCTGGTCTTCTTCCCCTCTTCCCCATTCCGCCCCCTTCCTCTTCCGTCCCTTTCTTCCCCCTCCTGCCCCATTCGTACTCCCGCCGCCCAGCAGATGCATCGGGGGCTCCAGCGGCAGTGCGCACCCAGCTGCCGCGCGACTGTGAGTGCACGCGCCACGCTGCCCGCGCCCCCAGGAGTCTGGCAAGCTGCAGCTGTTCATCCAGGACGCCGCTCCCCATGGCTTCTGGCACAGAGGCAGTACAGTGGAAACCCATGCTAAGAAACACCGCGCTTGCCTCCAGGATTTCCTGGATGTCTTGGGTTTTGATGGTCTTGCTGTGGAAAGCGTGACGTCCCCACCAAAAATCAATGGACGTCTTGGGGACTCAGGATTGGGTTTCTTGTGGAAGGTTTCTTGTGGTCGAGCTCCTACTGTATGCTGTGCACAGGCACTGTTGCGCACACAGCCCCTGTCCCACTTCCGCCCTGACGCTTCGTGCCCACACAGCGTCGGGTAACCCACCCCTGGCGCGCCCAGGGAGGGGGGAGGCGACGCACCAGTGGGAGGGGGGAGGGGGGATGACGCATTCCCAGCGCACTTGGGGGTGCGCCGCGTTCCCCCGCCCCCCCCCCGCCCCCTTTCACGTGCTGTCCCCAGGGGCATCCAAATCCAGATCCACCGCGCCCCATGGGTCCCAGGATATAGGTTCCCCAAGCTGTGGGTATGGATATCCCGCCTTGCATCAGACCTCCCGAGAATTGAAAACATCAAGGCGGAGGTTTTCTGGAAGCTTCGGCGTCCAGGGCCGCTTCTGGGCCCCAGCACCTTCGAACCATTATCCAGGATGAAAAGTCTGATCCTGGGAAGAGGTCGGGGTGTTTGGGCTTTGAAGGCCTGGGGAGGACTCGCAGGGAGTTTTCAGTTGCCTCCGCTGTCGAGCAAAAAGTGCGCCTACGATTCTCTGCAGATGTTGCCAGAGCGTGCAGGGAGCCTTGAGAGGTCTGACAGTGCTCAGGATGCCTTCAGCGGCCTTGCGACTGCTTTCAAGGGTCTCAGTGAGATTCCGGTGAGCCTTCCTCCAGGGGGGTTCCAAAGACCAGGATCGGCCCGAACTGTGCTGGCTTCCAAGCTAGAGCCCTCCTCGAGGGAGTTCCGGCCATGGGGGTTCCAGGGGCCTCCAAGGGAGCCTTGATCGAGTCTTTGGCCGAGGGGACCGACATGGAAGCCTACAGCCCCTTCCCGCACGCTAAGCGCCTAGACCTCGGATCCAGATTTTCACGGCGAGGGCTTCAAGAGCTCCCGACCCCGTCCGTGGGACCCCACCCCGCGGGTTGTCTCTCGATGCGGCCCGAAAACGTTCCCCAGAGGCTGTAGCAGCGAACCAAACATTTGTCATGATTTTGGTCCCGCGCCTGAAGGCCTAGATAACTGCATCATCTTCTTTACAATCGGCCCTGTGACTTGCCCCAGGGTGCGGTCTGGGCAGAGCTTCGAGGCGGATCCAGCCGTCGCTACAAAAAGCCCCCTGCCCCCATCAAAGTCCAAAAGCACCCAGAGCAGAACCTTGGTTCTCGGGCCTTCGATTCGGAGGTCTGCCGGAGGCGGTCTTGGCCCAGGCTGCCCCCTCTTCGCGCCATTTTGGAGCATGGGGGCCTCTCTGAAGGTCCTCTCGGCCTCCGTAGGCGCAAAGCTGGGGCATCCCCGATGGCTCAGGGGCCAGCTCCTCTGGCAGCACTCCCCGGGCCGGCCAGGAGCAGTACCGCTTCCTGCGGCACGAGGTGACGTCCGCCGCCTCCGAGCGCGTCTCCGCCGCGGCGGGCGGGCCCCTCGGGGCCATGGGGCAGCCCGCGGCCTCGTGGGGGCGAGGAGGCGCCCTCCCCGGCGTATCTCGCGCGCGCCTGGCGTTCTGATGTTCCAACCTACTCTGGCCTTGATCACCAGAAAGTGGTTCGAGCACCAGGGAAGTACCGAAACTGGAGGGTTTTCACGTTTCGGGCAGGCGATACTCGTTCGACACTTCGCCAGCGTGTCGGGCAGGCACTGTTTCGATATTTGTCTGGGTGCTCGAAATGATTTCTGGGATATGGTCCTGGAGTACGATGGGAGCAACTTAAGCCTGTCGGCGTAGCGGTCGCGCCGGTCGGCGACGACGACGACCACAGCAGGACATGGCGAGTCAGAGGTGGCTGGCGAGGGGCCAGCGCGCCCCAGGCGATGATCCGTACATGATTATATCGGGTTCCATGCCTGCTTGTTGTCGTCGCCGTAGCTGAGTTACCGTTTCATCGCTTCGCTTCTTCCGCCGGCCCGTGTCTAATGGCGTTCGGACCATCCCGCCACCGAGCCTGGGTGGTGGGCTGAGGCCTCGTTGACGTTCGTCGGGATGTCGTCGAGGCCTGTCGGGAGCCTCCTGGAGGCAGTTCCGAGGTCCTGGGGAGCTGTTTGGGGGCCTCTGTGGGCCTGCTTTGGGCCTCCGGGGGAGCCTCTTGGGGGCGTTTTCGTGCCTCGTGGAGGCCTCTTGGGTGCCTCGTCTTGGGGCCTCCTGTGCGCCATTTGGGGTGGAAGGCTCGGATTTTCCGTTCGTGTTCCCCCTCTTGGGCCTCTCTTGGGGCCTTCTAGGATAGGAGCCTCGTGGGACGTCTTGGAGCGTCAGAAGCTCGAAAAGTGGAGAACCCAAAAAGCACTGAAAGACCTAAGGAACATCCTGTTGGGAAGGCTATCGGAGGCCTCTTGGGACGTTTGGGCTTGGGCGTCTTGGACCGATCGTTCAGCGATTCGGGGCCCTCTTGGATCGTTCTGGGGGCCTCTGGGGGTGGCCCACAAGACCTCCCCGGGGAGTTCTGACATCCTTGGGGCGTCTTTGCCAGGATTTTGCCGTCTGGGGACCCCCAGGGGCGGCGCGCGCGCGAATTAGAAGTGTTTTAATTTTGTTGCCAGAGATCTTAGCACGCCTCTAGCCCGCTGAGCCAGCGCATTTGAGCGCCCTCTCCACAGCCTGCCTTGAAGGCAGAAATCAATTATGCGCTGAAGCGTCCCCCCGCGTTTTGATACAATTGTGATCCTGCATGACTCCGACGACGGCAGCGGTGGCGACGACTACGAATGCGGCGATGACCAGGTTTGAGACTTATGGTTGTTTCTGGTCCTTTCTGGAGCCTCTGGAGACCTCCAGATACCTCCCGAGGGCTTCAGGGAGCTCCACGGACCATCGGATCGAGGGACGCGCCGCACGTGCCGCCAAAGTTTGCAGCAGGCGGCACGACTGAGCGGGATTTGGGATCCAAGCTTACACATCTCACGCGCAGTTCTTCGCAGACACGGAGGACAAAGGAAGTCTTGGGACGATAACATCGTTCCGCTTTGCACGTTGCAGTAATTAGACATCCACAGCGATACACAACGGTGGAATTTGCCGGGACTCTACAATTGCTTAACCAACATTGAGGCACATTCTTACAAGATTTGCAATGCCTCAACCATTCTGGCGATTGTTCTCACGCCGATTCCTGAGCATCCCAACTACCTCATCATCACTACATCCAAGCTCAGAATTCCCGACTCCTGATCCACTTTGGTCCAATTCCAGTTCCCGCCGATCGATCTCCAGCACCTGTGCTTATATTTCCGAGTCCTGCCCCCATCTTTCCGATTCTTGCTCTCATCTTTCTGACCTGGGTTCTTGTCCTCACGTTTCCAGCACCCATCCATGTTCGTTTGTTCCGATCCTTTCCCCGACCTATCCGATCCATGCCCTCATCTTTCTGAGTCCAGCTCCTACCCCCGCGACTTCTACAGCCTGCTTCTTCCAAGTCTGGCTTTCATTTTCTGATTTCAGTACCCGAGTTTGATTCCAGCGCAGCTTTTGTTCTCATCCGATCTTGCGACTCCGGTCGTGTCTTCCGTGTGTGTGTGTGTGTGTGTGCATCCAACCTTGGGCCCTCACCATTCGGGCCACCCCCATCCAGCCACCATTCCCGTGCAAACTCTGAGGGTTCTGGCCTCTTGTCGCTGCCCTTTCAGGGCTGGTCTGGTCAGCGGCGGCGGACGCGCGCGCGCGCAGTTGCGCAGGGCTCGTCTGGAGGGGAGGAGGGTAGATTTGCGCCGCGTCGACGCGGTGGCGACGCCGCGCGTGGGCGTTCAAGGTTGAAGGCCACCGCTGCCCTGAGCCAGGCCGAACTTGGGCGCTCTCCGCTCTGGGACAGCGGTGTCACTCTGTCTAGTTAGGCTTCTGGTCTCGTGGGGCGCGGGCTCCCCGGCGAGGCCAGGGGGGACATCTCCAACAAGATAGCCCAAGTTCTTGATAGCCGTGCGAGCGGCTGCCAACCTGGCACGAAGCACGTGAGTATTGGCGACGCATGCGGAAGCGATACATGAAACAACTCACATGACGTCCAAATAATGACATTGAGGAGCTGGATCATCAACGCAAAACAAAATTCCTCCCCTGCCCCCAGTGCCCCCCTTCTCCCTCCTCCTCCTCCTCCTCCTTCCTCTTTCCTCCCCGACGACGACCACGAACGCATCCGGGAGAGAAACATTGATCTCGCAAGACGCCGCGGGGTTTCGAGCACTGGGTCTCCAGGGGGAGGGCACGAGCGGAGGGGGCTCCATCGACGAAGTCGAGCACGCCGCGGCCTCAGCCGTCGCAAGACTTGCAGAGGAGGAGGAGGAGGAGGAGGCGGAGGAGGAGGAGGAGGAGGAGGAGGAGGGGGAGAGGGGGGGAGGAGGGAGGAGGAGGAGGAGGGAGGAGAGAGGAGGAGGAGGAGGGAGGAGGAGGAGGAGGAGGAGGAGGAGGAGGTGAGGAGGAGGAGGAGGAGGAGGAGGAGGAGGAGGAGGAGGAGGAGGAGGAGGAGGAGGAGGAGGAGTGGCAACAGCTGGCGTAGGAGGGAGGGTGGGGGAGGAGGCGGACGAGGCTGAAGCAGGACCTAGCAGGGGTCGGGATGAGGAGGAGGTGGAGGAGGAGGAGGAGCAGGAGGAGGAGGAGCAAGAGGAGCAGGAGGAGCAGGAGGAGGAGGAGGCGGATCGCCACAGGCTGTGGCTCATGGGCTCCTCGCTGGCCTGGTGCTCAGCGTGTGCAGCCTTCGGAAGTTCGCGTCTACGTTTGCTGGGTGGGGCCTGGCTTGGGGCTGCCCCGACAAGGACGGAGTCAAGACCCTGAGGTTGCTCAAAGAGGGAAGCGATCCGTCCACCAACCAAGTGACGGCCAGGAGCTTTGTCTCACCATAACATGTTTGAGGGTCCTTTTCAATCATGGTTGTCGCGCGCGTTTCGTCTGGAGGGTGACGTTCCGCAGCCTGAAGGAGCTTGGAGGAGGAGGCGGAGGAGGAGGAGGATCAGGGGGACGGAGGTGGAAAGATGGAGGGGGATCACGAATGCGAGAGAAAAACGAGGGAGGATGAGGAATTCCAGGGTTTCCGCTATCAGTTTGTGATAACACAGGCTTAGTGCTCAGCGCTTCGGCATCAAGCCGCGATCAATCCTGTCAAGATACTCGCGTCTGGCCTTCGTGAGTGGGAGATCGCGCACGGCTTAGATAGCCCCTTGAGTTGGGCTTGACCGACATAGCTGCATGCGTCGCAATGCCGCAATTAAAAGGTGTTTATGCCATATGGGGGCGTGTGAGGGATGGGTCCAGTCCCTGTCTAAATGTAAACGCCGTCCTTTCAGAACGCGAGCCAGCTCGCGATTCACCAGCTCGAGTTGGAAGCACTATTTTTCTCCACCATCCAGACAACGCCGCGCTCGACGCCGAACTCCTGCACTCCATACGCGCCTTACCACCTTCAGTCAAGGAGTGCGGAGACGCGAAGCGCGCAACTGCGAGAGTAGGAAGATGGGGAGGCGGAGGCGGAGGGCCATTGGGAGGTCTGGCCTCGGATCCTGCCGAGATTTGGGAAGTCTGAGTGGAATCAAGATCTACCATCAGGAGCCCCCATACGCACGAGCATTGCTTTACGTTCATCAGGCTGGACCTCCTGATGACGACTGGCCTGGGGAATGCGCGCGGCAGCCTCCCTAGCAAGGACGTCCACACGGGTACTCCCGAGAGCCAACCAACTTGGGATGCCCCGAGACAGCGCCTCTGGCGGAAAGATGCGAGTGTGCTTGCATCATCACGATGCACGAAGGGTACTTGCTCTGCTGTGCAAGCGCCTTGCCGACCTCTCTCCAGAGGTCGGACTGCGGCCCTTCTGGTCGCAAAAATACCTCAGCCTGTCACCCTCCCGCAACCTCGGCACAATCAGTGACATTGACGAGCGGTCCTACCGAACAACGCAGCGTACAAATGAACGCTAGTAATTCACCCCTAGAGACTCTGAACTGGCCCAGGAAGCGGCCCTAAGAGATGAGGGTCTAGACGGAAGGGCCCGAAGCTTGAGAAAGCAGCCACCAGCCACCAGGATGCCGACCCCACGCAGCCTAGAGTCGTGGGGTCGTGGGTGTCCCGGCCTCCAAAACCGCACCCAAAGACCACAATGGGAGCCTCCTGAGACCCCATCCCGAGATACGCTTCACCTAGATTCCCGCCTCAGAGATTGCCACTTATAAAAGAGTGCTGAGACGGAGGGGCTGGGACCCGGGTCGGGGAGCGGTGATGAGGCCCCGCATCCAGAAACATGTAAGCGCATCAGACTCGGTTGTGGCTTGAGACAACAGGTCATTCGAATCAGCACAAGCTTTGGATGTGGAGCAGGCGTTCGCCTGACATGTGCAACAGAGTACCTCTTATCCTCTCCCCATGTTAGGCGAAGATCCGACTCGCACACGGCCTGCCAGATGACTCCCCTCAAGAATCCAGGTCGCCGCCCGTCGCCAGGGAGACGAGCAGTTCGGAGAGCTGCCCCCCCCCCTCCCCCTCGACGTAGAGGAGGTCGCTCGCCATAGACCTCAGGGAGCCCACGTCCACGCCGTTCTCGAGCCCGCCGCCGCGGAACAGGACCGCGGCCGCGCGTCATTGCTCGAGCAGGGGATCGACTAGAGAGTTGATTTACCACAAATTTGATTTCCCCGCCGAGTCTACGAAACATTGCGCATAATGCCCCGTAAATCTGCGAACATTCCATTTGTTTCTTGTATATTCGGCGGGACAACCAATTTTGAAGCAAGTCAGTTCTGCAGTTAATCCCCTATCCGAATTGCTTCAGCTCAAGAGTCCTGCTGAAGTTCGTCCAACAGCGGGCCTGCCTGATCCAGCGCCTCGAGCTCACTGCCCTGGAACTGGCAGTTATTTGTCACTGATGAGCCATTATGTGGCACTTCCCGCCCGGTGGGCGAAACAGCCGACCATCCAGCCTCCAGAAGATGCAACATCATTGTAGTCATGGGCCCGCGAACGTGACCGAGGGAGGAGGAGGAGGAGGAAGAGGAGGAGGAGGAGGAGGAGACGGAGGAGGAGGAGGACGAGGAGGAGGAGGGGGGACAAAGGAGGAGGGAGGCAGAGGAGGGAGGCAGAGGAGGGCAGCGGGGCCCGTGAAGGAGGAAGAGGAGGATGAGGAGGATGTGTCAACGCAGCATGAAAGTATTGACGTTTCGCGTATTCCCGCCAATCCATCCAGAAACGATGCCCAGGGGAGCTGTCTTGAGGAGGGGCGCAGGTAAGCATGCAGTGAAACAAATAGGATACCAACTGTGCATTTCTCAACGCTACGCTGGAGGACTCCGACTTGACCAGGGGAACCATCGAGCACCTCGCCGCCCTGCCCCAGAAAACGACGGCTACAGGCGCAGTCCGCGACGAGTCTCCTGCCGCCAGCTGGCTCAACAGGCAAGGGAGGAAGGAATCACCCGTAGCTGACCGCCATGTAGGGGGACCACGGTGCACCCCCGACCCGCGCTAACGTGCCACCCCAGCGACAGCAGCAGCGGCTACAGCGACAGCGGCGCCAGCGGCGCCGCCCGGGTCGGTCCAGCCGCCGCAACGGCGCCGCAGGCAGCGCCCCCGGCTGCTTCGGCAGCGACGGTTCCGGCTGCTCTGGCAGCGACGGCACCGGCTGCTCAGACAGCGACGGCTCCGCCCTCAGCGCCAGCGGCCGGCGTGGTAGGGCCCCAGCCAGCTGCCGTGTGGGGGGGCCCCCAGTGCGCAGCTGGTCGCGGCAGCTCTGCACCAGGCGGGATGGCAGGGCTTCTCCGCGGTGGATCTCCCGGAGGCGTCCAGGAGGAAGGCGATCCTCCTGCAATGGGAGGTGCCCCGAGCCTCCTGAGCGGCAGCGACGGTGAGCCCGGCTGCTGCGGGCCCCTGAGCCCCCGATGCCCGAGCGTCAGCTCCGGCAGCGACGGTGCGCCCGGCTGCGGAGCCGAGGGCGACGGCCCCTCCGGAGTCATCGACATCGGCATCGAGGCCAGCTACGACGCGCTGGGGCTCTGGCATGGCGCGCCAGGGCGTTTGGGCGGCGCGACCGCGGTTGCCACGCCTCCGCGCCAGCGCTCGGCCTGCGGCGGGGCCCCGCTGGACGATGCGGTCCCGCGGTTGCCCGGCGTGCGCCCGGCCGAGCGTTGCTGGGTGCACCTCTCGGAGGACGACGTGCCCCCGGACCCACCCGTGGGCGACGGTTACGCGGCTGGTGGGGCTGCTGCTGGGTCGCCCCGCGCAGCCTCCCGCCCCTGCGCAGAGGCGGCGCGGCCTCCGGCCCTCCACGAGGGCGACGGTTCTGAGGCGGCCAGCCCGCCTAGCGTTGGCACCAGCGCCGCCGCGGCGGGAGCGCTGGTCCCGGCCCCCCCCACGCGGGCGGAGGGCGACGGTGTGGAGTGCGACGGAATCTCCAGGGAGGATTTCGTGCAGGAGCTACGGGATGGCCTGGCCAGCTCGGGGTGGGCGGCAGCGCGCGCGCTGGCGCCGGCGCTTCGCGTCGCCATTCGCGGTTTGGGCTTCCGCGAGGCGTGTGCCCGGCTCGAGGAGGCCGCCTCGGCGATCCCGGATGCGCTGGGCCGCCGGCGGGTCGTCGAGCGGGTGCTGGAGGCGGCCGAGCGGACAAGGCGCGCGCGTCGCTCGCCGCCAGGCCGGCGCCGTCGCGGCGGAAGCGGCCCCCCTGCTCATGGGGCGGCGGGGGTTGATGCCATGCGGCGGCTGTGCAAGCTCCCGGCCGCGGAGCTGGCGCGGGAGCTCCGGGCGAGGGCCGAGGCGTTCCGGGCCTTCCCAGAGCTGGCGGCGGAGGCGGCGCAGCTGGCGGCGGCTGCAGAGGGCGACCCCGCCGTGAACGGGCCCGCGGCGCTGGCAGCGGCGGCGCGGCGCCTGGGCGGGGCTGGCGGGGCCTGAGCGGCCCCGGGCGCGGGGCGCGCGCCTCTCCCCCCTGTGGGGCGAGCGGCGCGGCTGGGCAGGGTCGAGCTCTGCGAGCTCGCGGGCCTGCTGGGCGCCAGGGGTTGTGAGCGGCACCCCGCAAAGTCGGGGTGCCAGGTAGCGGCCGCGGCCGCGCCTGTCTGCACTGCTTGCTGCTGCTGCTGCCTCTCGTCTTGTTCTTCCCCCCCCTGCTGCTGTCCTCTCCTCTCCTCAGCCACGGGGCGCCCACTCGAGCTTGTAAAAAAATGCCACCCCAGCAGCCTGCCGAACCTGGCCAGTCCAACGCAGTCCTAGCAGAGGAGCCGTCCTCACCAGAGCGTTGGGATGGCGATGGCGAGGCGGAAGGGGTCGAC